TATCTGAATTTTGTTCTGATTGTGTCTGTAATAATTGGTTTTAGTTTGAAGTTTTATTTAAAAAAACAGAGAGAGAGAGGTCTACATCTGTTCAATGTTAGCTGCTTTTAAATTCTCTCTCCCTCCTTTCTAATCCTTCCCAACCTCATATTAGCTCTGTTTTGAATCTTCCTTGCTTTAAATGTCCAACAAGCACATCCTTGTATTTTAAAATGAGCTGCCTGTCACTGCTACCTTTTTGAGGTCTCTGTTGCCTTGTTGCCAAATCCTGGGCTGTTGCCTGACTCCAAGTGAGTGAGGATTACAAGATTTGAAGTACTGGAGGCTCATCTTGCTCCTACTGTAGCTAATGGCAAAACTCCCATTGATTTCAATGGGAGGAGAATTCCCGCTCTCCATTATTATTATTTTTTTAAATGATGGGAGAAACAAAAACTGCTTAAAGTACAACTCAGGATGTCCATCCTGCTCAAAACTTTTGGTTTGATCTTGAATCCCCTAGCCCCAAGTAACAACTGCCATGGTCTCTACACATTTGTTTGGCCCCTTCTCTCTGCTACTGCCTGCTCACAACTGTCATTCCCAACTGCCACGGAACTCTCACCTGAACATTCCATCAGCCAAAACATTCTGGACCAAATTCATCTCCGATATAGCAGCACTGCCTTGAGCTAATGCAGTCCTTCAATTTGTGCACGGACTTGAGTGAAATTACACAGGCAATGAATTTAGCCCTCTGTCTGCAATGTGAAAAGCAACAAAAAGAGGAAGTGCCTCAACACTCTAGCTCAGATTTTCATAGTTGATTGCAGGATTGGGCCTTGTATATGTAGCCTATTACAGTAGCATTTGGCAGGAAACACCTGACTCTCAGATATTTTCTATGTAATCTCTGAGAAACAGAATAAAGTAACACTTTTTAAACTTCATCAATCAAGGGCGGGGGAATGCTTCAGGTTGACACTTTGGTTGAAATTTGGCAGCGACAATCCTACTGTGTGTCTTTTTTTTTTTTTTCTTAATGTAATGACACGTGTAGTATGTCTATTGAGGTCTATATTTTTATTGTTAATACTTAGCACGTATACAGCATTTTACAGCTTCAATGCACTGTGCAAACTAACTGCAATAATCTGATGTAGTCTAGCACAATATGTACAGTTCATCTGGCACTATGTAATTTTTTTAAATAGACATGACATGTAGGTTTGTACTAGTACCTGTTACATTCAGCCAGATGCTGTATACCAGGCTCTGCTAATACAGCCAGAGGTGAAACCACACAAATAAAAAACACTTTTTACTAACCTTTAAATTGAGTCTTGATTCATTTTTCATTCCTTCTTTTTTGCTTCTGTCTATCCATCTTCCACATCATTCTCTCCTCTGGTCTCCAAACACCTTCTGCACCATTTTTTGGTACTCTATATGCTGTTCTTTCTGCACCCTCCTCCCCATCTTTTTCCCACTTCCTCGGCCACCTACCTCCCTTCTTGTCACATCTATTTCTGCAGGTTTCCTCCACGTTTCTCACTCTCTTTCCCTCACCTTTCTCAGGTCCTCACATCTTGGGCAGCAAGAATTTAAGCAGTGGTTGGCTTGGGGAGTGTGCAGGGTTAGAGGCAGGATATGAGAGAGCTCCACCCATCAAGAGGAGGTAGTTAAATGCAGGTCACTGTCCCTCTGTCCTTAATGGAGAAACTGGAAACACTGTAGTTAATCTGTAACCATTAAATATTATCATTTTATTTTATTGGAAGAGATACTAGAATAGAATTAGGTTTACAGGGTATGTGCCGTTTGACAAAATGTCTTTTTTTTTTTAACCTTTAATGTTCTGTGTTCCTCGTAATGTACAGCTGATGTTTGTATGTGCACATCAAAGTTAGTAATGTGAACGAATAAGCTAAATGAGCTTTTATTGTAACACACATAGGGAAGTGTTTTTGGTTCTCTTGAGCAGAAGTTCTAGTTTTCTGTATACTGATTTTTATGATGCAACTTGATTTGCATTGGAGCCTTTGCTGACTCTTCATGGGTCACATTAGGTCTGTTCTCACAATGAAAAGTATTTGAAGAAGAGATTCCTCATTTTGTGCCGTAACTGGTTCATCAAGATATGTGTCCGTATGAGTGCTCCATTTCAGGTGCGCATGCATCTTCGGCCCTTGGTCGGAGATTTTCAGTTAGCAGTGGCCATTTGGCTCATGCATGCATCCTATGCATCTTCATCCCAGATACCGAGGCTATACTGGGGTGCATGGGCAAACGGTCCTCAGTCCATTCTCCATGCAAACATCTCCTAAGGAACAGGCTGAAGCAAAGGGGAAGGAGGGTAGATAGTGGAGAACCCATAGGAACACACATCTCAAAGAACTGCCGTTACCACACCTAGTGAGTAACCTCTTCTTCTTAAGGTTTCTCTGGCTTTCCTTTCTTGACAGAACAAGTAGCAATGGTCTCAATTTGCAGTGGGGGAGGTCTAGGTTGGATATTAGGAAAAACTATTTCACTAGGAGGGTGGTGAAGCACTGGAATGGGTTACCTAGGGAGGTGGTGGAATCTCCATCTTAGGGGTTTTTAAGGCTCAGCTTGACAAAGCCCTGGCTGGGATGATTTAGTTGGGGTTAACCTTGCTTTGAGCAGGGGGTTGGACTAGATGACCTCCTGAGGTCTCTTCCAACCCTAACCTTCTATGATACCCTGCAGTTGAGGGCCAGGTAGAAGTTGCACTTCTGAGAGATATGGGACTCCCCCAGGCAAGGGGCACACTTAGAGTGGCTGTTGCTCACAGATATAGCCTCTCAGCAGGAGAGGCAACATTTGAAACCTGGCAAGCCAGGAGTGCCCTGCTTCGAGGGAAAAACCTCCCCAAGGAGAAAGAATAAAACAATCCTCTCACTATTTATTTAATACTAACAACTAACTATAAAAATGTTAACCATTATGGAGTTATTAGAAAAGCTGAGGCATGCTTAAGGTGGACATGCCATTTCAGTCTTAGGCCAAGGTGGCTGAGAAGGAGCTGAGGGCGGTCCACCCACACACCCCTATATAGCCTCAGTATCCAGCATGTGGAGGCATAGGGCGCTTGCCCAGGCCAAACAGACTGCTAACTGAATCTCTGATCAAGGGCTCAAGAGGTACATGCACACCTGAAGTGGAGCACCCATAGGTGCCTGAAAAAGAACTGGCATTTTCATGTCCGATTCCAAAAATAGAGAAAATAAGAACAGAATTGCACAGACCCCTTAAAGTCTTACCAGAAGACTATAGCTATACTCGCCAGTGGTCTCAATGCAGCTTTCACACTTCCTTGAAAGGAATTCATTAAGCTGAAAAAGCTGGCTTGAAACCAGTCTTCCTATAATGTCTTCCATAATTTGCTTCAAGGGACACATTTATAGTCACTGTGAGTCTTTTTTATAGGTCTAGTGCAAGATGAAGGGCTAGTTCACCATCGTAAGACTTTAATGAATAGATGCTGGTTGCCTGCCACAGCCCAAATAATTTTTCAAGCATTTTTTCACAGTATAGCCTTTTCTGTATGGACTTTTCCAGGAATATGCAATAGCATGACAGCTGTAATCTCTGGAATCACAATGATGTAATTACAAGTTTTGTTTCAGGAACTCCATCTTCAATTCATGGAGATTCATTCAGACACAGCCAAAAAATATTCCAATATTGTAATTTTCTAATTTTGATTTTTCCAAGGGCTTGAGAATTCCAGCTACTTCTTTTTATTCATCTTTACTTTTCTGCAAGCTTGGAAGCACATGGATTGTGATACTCAGAGAATTTTTCTTATCAAACAGCTTTGATATTCCATCAGATGGCCAGGACTCATGACACACTAATATTTTCAAAATGTATCCTTAGCTTAGATCTTCTCTATGTAATTTTACGGTAGAGAACAGTGCCTAATTCATGTATTCCCCCTCTCCCCAGTACTACTAGCGCAATGTAAGTAGACGATAGAAAGGGAAAAGACGAAGAGAAAAGGTAAGAGGTTTGCGAGTGTGGCGTTTCTAGGACTGCTGAAATGTTGGAAAAAGAGCACGGGTGTTGACCTTTAAGGCATATAAATTCAATCTGCCACTTTTCCCCCAAAAGGGGAGTTCTTCAAAACCACAAATTGGATTTGGGTGCCTAACTTCGTGTTGTGCTTCAAAAATCTCCCCCTCATAACAAATACTAGAAGTGATATATTAGCTAGACAAAATGCGTATCTAGTTTTAGCAGGAGGCTCTGAACATATTTTATGTATTGTAACACAAACTGAAACAGTCTTGCATCAGGAGAGTTGAGGTAGTGATATGCAGAGGATCAAAAAGGGAGCTTCTCAATCACCAGAATGATTTTCTTTTGGTTTTTTATTTTTTCTTTCACATTGATAAATACATCCTTGATGCATGGCTGACATCTGTCCTTTCTAACAGGATTGGGTATGATGTGTGAATATGTTCAAGTTCAATTACCTTTCTCCCTAGACTAATAACTTTCAATTCCAGGACCACCACTACTACAACAACAAAACTTTCAAGTAATAGTTACTGGCTCAGACCACCTAAAGAAGGCCCATGCTATCTTGCATTTTCACCCAGTGGAAGGTCGGAGAACATAATAAATCTGGTGTAGGATGTCAGGGATAGAGGTGTGATGAATGTCCACACTGGAGCATGCTTGTTCTTTCTGTAGCCCCCACAGAAGATCCAATGGTTTTAGTCTTAGCCGTTTTGAAGATATCAGAAAGGATGGGGTTGGTGGTTTCTCTGGTTTAATTAGAAAGCAATATGAGAACTTCTATTGATCAGTGACCCTTGATTGTATGAGTTTCCATATGCTATGTTCTTCAGCAAGGATAATTGGTCTCTACCATCCCCGAGTTTAATAGTTGGGGTGTGGAAATAAAAGGGAGAAGACCCAAACTATAGTACTCTCTAATGGTCTCTGAAACCTCTTTATATTAATGTAATGAGGTATACTGGCTCTTTAAGCCTACAGGGCATCAGAAGACCCCATTCCAGGAACATTAGAACAAATGAATGCCTAGGAAGCGGCTGAAGCTGGAGCAGGAGGAGAGGAAGTGGCCCTGGTGAGTTAGCAACTGGTGGGGGGGAAACCCAGGTGAGTGTCTGTTTAAGGGCTCAAGATCAGGAGCCCTGTAGTGCACTGTGAGGCAGGGATTCCTTCTCTTCTGGTCAACCAGGACAAGCCCTGGGAAGGAGCAGGGCAGTATATATGCTTCCTGCTCCTTCATAACAGGCAGGAGCAGGCTCGCATCTATGTGCTGACTACTTCAAGGAAAGTGGGCCAAGTATGAAATAAGAAGAGAAGAGAAGCTGGCCAACGCCTGCAGCTGGCAGGAATTGTGACCCAGCCACAAGAGGAGGGCTGTAAACTCCTGACCCAAGGAGAGGCTGCTTATAGTTTGAGTCAGCCTTGAAAAGAGGACTGGGGAACTCCTTATCCCAGGAGGGACTTCTTGTACTCTAACTCAGACCAGGAGGAGTTCTGTAAGCTCATGATTCAAGGACAGAGTGACAGAGACTGCTTATACTCTAATCCAGCTCAGGAGGAATGCTTTGGATTCCTGATCCAAGGAGGGAAAGTGCTTTTATCCCAATCTGGTACTATGAGGTGGCTATGGACTCCTAATGCAAGGGGAAAGAGGCTGATATAGTTATAACCCAGCAAGAAAGCCTGTCTGACCCCAGGGACCTGTGGACTAAAAAGATTGAAGAGAGAAACTGAGGCAGAACAAACTTGGGCCATGAGGGGGTGCCCTGGAAAAGGACATCCTACAACAATTAGCAACATACAGTATGATTACAACATCCTGGAAGCCAGACAAGTTACCTATGCAAGTGGATTGGATCTAGCATGTGGGAAATTAATTTCTGTCAGTGATAAAAGTTAAATGTATGGATAAATTCTTGGACCACTGTGAAATAACTTGAAAAGTTTGTACAACATAAATTTAAATGGTTTATCTGCTTAGTCACAATGAGGCTAATGGGAACAGTCAACTTACCCTGGTGAGATTCAGGGCTTATCTTCACTAGCGGGGAGATAGTCGCTGCTGCAATCAATGCAGCAACTGTAGATTTAGCAGGTCTAGTAAAGACCTGCTAAATCGATGGCAGGGCGCTCTCCAGTTGACTCGGGTACTCCAGCTCCCCGAGAAGAGCAAGGTAAGTCGATGGGAGAGCATCTCCTGCAAACACAGCCCAGTGAAGACACCGTGGTAAGTCAACCTAAGCTACATTGACTCCAGCTACATTATTCACATAGCTGGAGTAGTGTAACTTAGGTCGACTTACCCCGGTAGTGTAGACAAGGCCACAGTTAACAGACTCAACTTTGAGTCTGTTGCAGTGGGCCTTTAAGAGAGCAGTGCTAGTGCACCTGTGCTTTATCAGCTGACCCAGATTGGCTTTAAAATAGTATGCCTGGGACAGAGAGAGAGAGAGAGAGAGACATCTAGTGAATCAGAGGCCTTGTCTACAGGGTAAGTCAACATAAGTTACACTACTCTAGCTAGCTAGCTTAGGTAGACTTACCCTGGTGTCTTCATTGGGCTGTGTTGATGGGAGACGCTCTCCCACCGACTTCCGTTACTCTTCTTGGGAAACTAGATTCCCGGGAGTGACCAGAGAGTGCTCCGCTGTTGATTTAGCAAGTCTTCAGTAGACCCGCTAAATCGACACCCGCTGCATTGACTGCAGCAGCATTGATCGCCCTGGTAGTGAAGATAAGCTCAGAGCTAGAAAGTGACAAAAGCGGGACGACAGTCAGTGACCTGAGAGGGGAAGCAGTGAGAGGCTGAAAAGTTTAAAAAAAAAAAAAAGGGGGGAGGGGGGAATCCCCTAGGGATTGTTGCCCGGGTGAGCTGCAAAACCATTTGTTTAAGTTTGGCCAATAAAACTGCCTTAGAGAGACCTGTGGATGTGGCTGTGTCTTTGGGAGCTGGAGGAGAAGCCCTCCCTTGTTGCATGTGGTGGAGAACGCAGATGGGCCATTGGCCCTGGAATCCATCAAGGGGAAACTGAAGCCTCCAAACATTGACTCACCTCTCCTTATTTAGGTGACCAAGAAAGATGGAGAAGGTGATACATCTGGTGGTGGTGGTGCAGCACAAGCCAACAGCTACTTTACAGTGACAGCAGAAAGAGAACCAGACCCAGGATATGCTACTGCTATTGCAGAGTTTGCAGAAGCAACAGAAGGCACAATTTGCCATGCAACAATAGTGACTGGAGGCCCACCTCCAATAACAGGAGTGGTTGTAGAAGCGGTTGGGCCAAAGGTCTCTGGGGAGCTCAGCTGGTATTAAAGAGGATAGCTCTGGTGAAGCTGGTTCCTGAGGATCATAGAATATCAGGGTTGGAAGGGACCTCAGGAGGTCATCTAGTCCAACCCCCCTGCTCAAAGCAGGACCAATCTCCACTAAATCATCCCAGCCAGGGCTTTGTCAAGCCTAACCTTAAAAACTTCTAAGGAAGAAGATTCCATCACCTCCCTAGGTAACGCATTCCAGTGCTTCACCACCCTCCTAGTGAAAAAGTTTTTCCTAATATCCAACCTAAACCTCCCCCACTGCAACTTGAGACCATTACTCCTCGTTTGTCATCTGCTACCACTGAGAACAGTCTAGATCCATCCTCTTTGGAACCCCCTTTCAGGTAGCTGAAAGCAGCTATCAAATCCCCCCTCATTCTTCTTTTCTGCAGACTAAACAATCCCAGTTCCCTCAGCCTCTCCTCAGAAGTCATGTGTTCCAGTCCCCTAATCATTTATTTCCTCCATACCTCTGAGTGATTGGCCAGTGCAGCAGGCTGGGAAGAATCATCTTGGGAGGCCCACATAGCACTGTTTCTGACAGGTGAGGCACAGGCAGACCACGAGATGGTAAGCAGTGAGCAGGCAGGTTCCTATCCTGTGGTGAAAGCTGCTGTCTTACGTAGATTTGGACTGACTCTTAATGTATACAGGCAGCAGTTTCAGGCTGAACCGTTCCTGCAGGGGTCGCGACCATGCATCGTGGTTCAAAGATTATGGGACCTTGCTGCCTGGTGGTTATGTGTAGAGATTAATTCAATAGAGGAAAACCATCAACAAAGTGGTCCTGGAGTGGTTCCTGTGGGAGCCCAGAGTGGGGCAAGGCAATTTCAGCCTTGGTAGTTGAATGGGCAGAAGCTACCTTTGAGGTCAAAGGAGACTAGCAGCCTGAATGGCATGGCAGACTAGGAAGGGCCTCCTGGAGGAGGCCAGACAAGGAAAAGTTGCAGGGAATGCCCATAGGAGAGGATCCTGAATAGCCCAAAACAGGGGGATGCCTAGGAGTTGTCAGGGCCCTGGAGGAGGCCACCCTACAACAATTAGCAACATACAATATGTCTACAATATCCTGGAAGAAAAGTAAGCAACCTATACACATGGATTGGATCCAGAAGCTTAATCCAGCAGAAGCACTTCTGGGGGCATCTGGGGAAGTTCAGTGGTGCACTTTAGATGCAGCATGCTTAGGCATATTCGGCAAGAATGCTTGATAATGGAATGTGATTATTTGGGCTGCTGTTGTAGCCAGGTTTGTGGCTTGGGGTCTATAATGGGGCACATGTCATGCGTCTCCAGTTTGGCCCTTCTCCCCCTCTTCTTAAAAACTCAGGGACACTTCAGGCTGGTGCAATCCTCATGCTCTTTATTTGTGATCAAGTCCCCACCACCAGTTTCCAACTATATACAGGCTTATTACAACAGCTTGGCCTACTACAGGCCTGGCCTGCAACAGACTAGGAGACTCCTGACTCCCACCTCCCTCTGAGCCTGACCTTCCTATCCTAGTCTCCACCTCCTCCCAGCCTTATAGCTCCTGCTAACCAGGCTGGCAGGTGTGGTCAGTTACCAAGCAAGCATCAGGCTATCTATCCAGCTCCAATCAGAGGGATTGGATTGGTCAGTATGTCTCATGGAGTCCAGTTACAGGTGGACCCCTGTCTGGGAAAATAAGGTGTTGGCAATGAAGATGGACCAGCACCTCCCCATATGGAGGTCTCCTGCATACATGGCAAGAGATGCATGTACCCCACAGCAGAGGTTGAACTGGGGGTCCAGGGTAGGAGAGATTGGCTATGTGTCAGGGTAGTCAAGAACCTTCCAATTATCCTGGGGAGAGATTGGGTTTCCTGGCCCTGATGCAGGGAAAAGTAGAACAACAGCCTAGGATGGGGAAGATGAATGGTTGATTGAAAAAGGAGTGGAGGGAGCTGGAAGCTTGAATTGAGGAAGCCCTCGACAGTCTTCAGAGCTCTCAGGATCAGCTAAAAATATATCAATGAGAGCTAGAAGATGTAACCACCTCTTGGCAGAAGATCATTGATTCAGTTGATAGGACTGGAACAAGAAGGATCACTCTAGGGTAGAGGCAGAGAGTGGGAAACAGCAGCATTCCAATGCTGGAGCAGGAATTGGCCCTACTCCAGATAGAAAAGGGGGCAAGGGAACAGAAGATGATGGCAAAGACTGATCAGTGTATAATGGGGACTCAGGCAGAACCTTGAGCTGATCAGTGTATAGTGGGGAGCCAGGCAGGGCCTCAGACTGGCCAGGAGGCTGTGGAGACCCAGGCAGAAGCTTAAGCTGAGCAATATACAGTAGGGACCCAGACAATACCTCAACAACAAGCTGGGGCCCAGGTAAGAAATCAGGGGCAAAAACAGTGCTCCAGGGGACACTTGTTTTATGGGTCCTGTCACTGGCAAACTGCCAGAACAACTGATGGCTGCAGAACACTAGCTATAGATGGTCTGACAAGAAAAAGATCAGCTAACTATGGAACATTGGGCCACTCAGAAAAGAGTGTGTGTCTGATCCTGAAGGTCAATGAGGGACAGCTACAGACTCTGCATGAAGCAATCTTGACACTCTAGAGAAGCAGATGAGGCTTTAAAGACAGTACCCTAGAGGAGGTGGTACAGATGGTAAGGCTTGCCCTGGGGGTGGACAAGGCCTTACTTGAGGAGGAATGTCACAAGATGACACTGGCCCTTTGAGAGAGAGGGCAGGGCCAGCGCATCTGTG